TTTAATTATATATTAAACTAGTGTTTTACGCTGTCCATTACTAATTTCTTTTAAAGAAATATAACCAATATTCTCTTAAATTTGTTCACATTCTAAACGTACAACTACCATTCTATTTTTAATTTTTTTTTATACATGAAGTCATATAATCTAATAGTATTCATCAAATGCTATAATATATACTTAAAAATTAACATATATTCTTATAGATAGTAATTGAATATTTACGATGATTATACACCTAAAATTACTTACCATTTTTAATTATACACAAAAGGATGCAGCAATCTATTTTCTCATAACAAGTAGTTTTAGAAAAGTTAGGGACCCCTCATCTTAATTTTGTAATAATGAAGACCCCGGGCCCCTTCCATGTGCTCTCCACATATCACTATAGGTGATAAGTGCATGCGAACAAATTTGCATCTTTTTCTTCACTCTTTTCTTTTGGTACTTTTCTTTTGGGCCTTTGGTCATCTTTCCTACTTTTGTGTTTCCTATAAAACATTTGCCTCTTATTCTCTTGTAGAATGCATTGTAGAATCAGACTTAAATTAAATAGTTAATTATTATCTCGAAAAAGCATAACCAAACATGAGATTTATTAGACCATGATAGTTGCCAAGGGCAAAGTACAATTGAAAAAACAAAGTGAGCTAAGGCAAAAAAATTTCTCAATTTTTTTGTTTTAGCAAGAAAACTATCATTTTATTGATATCCAAATTCAGCTTTACAATGGAGAAGAGCTCCTACTACATCTGTAATACTCCAATGTTTAACACTATTACATCAGACATTCCATCAACAAAAGCACCAGCTGCCAATTCTCCTTTTTTTCTCTCTCTCTCTCTCTCTCTCTAGTTAGTCCAAAAAAATTGGTAAACATAAAATGCTATTCTTGTCTTGCTATTATTGAAAAGGGAAATTTAAATATCATATGGAGATATTTTGTGGGATGTCATTTTACTCCAATTAAAGGTTTCTGATTTAGTCTACCAAACAAGAGGGAGGTTTCTATAATTTTCAAATGAAGGACGTAGGTGTTTGGATTGTAGTTTTCTACTGAAAAATTTTTGCATTTTCCGTGAACATATTTCTTATCATTTTTTTAATCTTACATATATTAAATCATTATAATATATTTTCTACAAAAATTTTAGAAAATATCAATCAAATGAGACCCAATTTAGCGTACTCTAGTTTTTTAACAAATTTGAGGAGAGGTTGTTAGTGTACTCTATCCAATCTAGCACTGCAATGAACATACGTGGACAAAACAAGGTTTCTGGGTTGATCTTGGGTGGGCTGGTGATTCTCATTCTCCGAGCCTTGAAAGTGCACATTTCACCAAGAAAAGGAGAAATACTGGAACATTATGTTTCTTAGGCCGAAAAGCTAACCCAAAATAGAATCACGGGCTTACATTAGTTGGCAGATTGGACCTTCTCCAATTCTCCAACACAATACATGGTACAAGTCCAACAGGGAATTAAGAAGGTTTGAGGACTTTTTTTTTTTTTTTTTCCTTTTTTGGGAGAATGGTTTCGGACTTTAAAATGAAACTATGTGTTAGTTCTGAACAACTCCAATAATCGAGGGAGGAATTTAAAAAGAATAAGAAATTTATGTAATTGTTCATATAATTTAGGGCACATCAAAACATAGTTAAAAAAAATGAAATTTTGTAGTAATAGCTCCAAGTATGATAAAAATATCTCCATTATTTATAAACTACCACATTTGATGGAAGTCGAATCTTGAAAAAAAAAAGTAGAAATGTATATCATAAACTGAGCGATATAAGGGTCCAATTAAAAGAAATTGAATATTTAAACTTACAAATATTTTGCTTTCGATTTGATGATCTTCTATGAAGGTGTGAACATTCTTCACACCAATCAACTCTAAGTACGAACGCCAATATTGGGGGGATTAATTAATTTTATTGAATTTTATGGAGTTCGTACTATAAATGAGAAGGCACAATTTTTCGATGAGTTAATGTGTTGGTTGAACAATGTACCTCTATTTTCCTAGAATTAAGAGCAAACAGAATTTAGAATTATCTCTTTTTTTTGAAAGTTTGTGAATAATATTGTATAAAAATATATACGTATAAATAATTTATTTCTTCCTTTTTAAATCGTAAAGATAAGAAGTATCACAACAAAATATGAATCGTACATGCATGTCTTGAAGATTAAGGTATAAGTTACCACTAGAATCTCTAACTTCTATGTTCACATTGTATCTATTAAGAAGAAAATGTAATGTATGATACAGAAAATTATATTAAAATTAAAGATATATGAAAACAATTACTTGACAATAGTGTTGACTACGTCATTACAATGAACACACACTATTTTTGCAAAATGAGATTGACATAGTTATCCACAATTTTTGCATAACTCATAGAACGAATTGTTTATATTAATGTTTTGAATGTAAGCAAGTATTCAAAAATATTTAACCTTGTAGGTGGGTATATTTCATGATGAAATTAAGTCGAGGGTTAAGATGGATACTGTAAGGAAGTTGAAAGAGATGATAGATTCCTGTTTTTATTTACGAAAACGACGAATGAACATATGAGGTAAGCAGCAATGAGAAGAGATGATAGATGCTGACGAACTATTATGACGAATTAACAGATAGGATAAGCAATGGGCAAAGTTGATAGATACCCATGAAATATTGTGGTTTTTGTCCTTTTCTTTTTTTGGTTGCAAGAATGAAGTGTTGTGGTTGAAGGATGCTATGTTTTTATCTCTTATTATGATTTTGGAGAAATCTTAATTGGAGTGAAATTCGTATGTATTTGACACATGCCAATGGGAAAGTTGTTGAGTTCAAAAACGAAAACGTCTCTTATTATGGTCCTGGGAAAATCTTAATTGGAGTGAAATTCATATTTGACACATGCCAATGGAAAATGTGTTGAGTTCAAAGATGCAAACATGGTGGTGATTTGAAAGACATGTACACTAATGACTTAAAATGGTGTTGAACGTGCAAATAATGAGTTATTTTAATTGTAAAGGATATTGGTCACATGATGAATTGATTTTGAAAAGTAACTAAATATCAATAGTACATGCAGCGGGAGTTAAGAGGAATGTATTTTATAGAATAAATTAAATGTGAAATGCTAGAAAAATAGAATTGAGAGTGGAAGGTGTGTGGAGGAATATTGCTGAAAATCCCTTCTCAAATTTACATAAATATAGATAACTAATTATTGGAAGAGATCTCTCACCTGGGATTTTGTGAAAAATCACCTTTTAAGAAGAAATAATTTTCACCATGCATATCTTACCCATTCCAGGGTTATTGAAGCAAACATGGGCACTTGCAATAATAAGTTATACAAGATTATGCATAATGAAGTCTGGAACACAAGAAGAAGAAGAAGAAGAAGAAGAAGAAGCACCTGCATTTGAATATATGCATTCAATGAGATTGTTATGTGCTTGTTTGATAAAACTGTAGGCTGAATTTAAAACAATCAATATGCTGAATTAATCGATCACCTAAAACATTATCCTAAGATGCATTCTCATTCATCGGCTTAGATTCTTCAATGCAAGTCTCAACTCCCAACTACCTTAATTTGTCCAAACAAAACGCTGAAAAGAAAATAAAATAATGTCCCAACGACCAATAATTCGGTCATATACTAACTCTCCACATAAAAATTGGATTATATATCAATAACTCATGATCGTAGCTGCAGCAAAAAAAACGTGTTCCTTTTACTTTTATATAAGTTAATTTGCTGTGAAAAGAAGCAGGACGTAAATTTGATTACAGGGAACTCTTTCTTCCCGCATTAATATGAAGTATGAACCAGTATCGCACCACTGGAGCTAAGTTCTTGTTACGCGTAAGCTGATTCTAAAGTACAATGAATATCACATTTGACCTTACAATAATATGTACGTACATGTATAAGGTAACCTATATATGTTAGCACTAATTTGAGTAGTTTTAGCTTTTTGTTTTACATTTGTAACTCAATTATTGAATGTCACTGCTGCAGAATCTGAGGTTATTTTCATCTTAAAATTAATTGGCAAACACTCCCTCTTACCCTTGACTTGAGCTGAACAGATTAATGTGACTTGCTAAACAGATCAAGTGGACTAGATTTATAATTAAGACAAAATTTACTAGTTAAGAGCCAAAAAACAGGCTAAATGAATCAGAGCATTGTCATAGCAAAAGTCTATGAAACCAAGCTCAATACATAGAGTTCGAGTCATGTGTGAATGGAACATGATCAAGTACTACCTTTGAAAACATGTTAAAGAATATAAACTTTTACTTCAAAACCAATTGGGAATGAATGAAGTAGCCATTGTTAATTAGTTTAGTTGGTCTTGATTAACTGATGGGGAAATTAGCCATTGTTAATGAACGGCCACCATTTATTTTTTAGCTTCTTCCTTCCCATCTCTTCCCTTCTTTTTTTTTTTTTTTTTTTTCCATTTTTGTCTTTTGCCAAATAGATGAAGTTTGTTTTTTGTCTTCAAACAACTAGATGAAAATGTGAATCCAATTAAGATGATGCATCTTGAAAGGCTTAACAACTTTAAAGAAATGAAATCTATGTCTAAATTTTCCACTACTACCTTCAGATTGTCAAACAAAACTTTGAATGAAACACTTAGATTATAAAATCTCCTGCAAACAAAGAGACCGTGCGTGTGATCTACTTTCGCTATTTTTTTTTTGCAAGACAACTTGCGGTGAGTTTACATATATTGCGCAAGTGCATTGTCTTATTCATGGTCAATATCCAAGTTGTATTATCTTTATATTGCATGAGTCATTAAGATAAAAAAAAAAAAAAAAAAAAAACTCTCCAAAGAATTTTCCTAAGTCATTTATCAAACCTCATGTAAATAACTTTGCTGGTAATTTTACAGAATCCACTAGAACCAATATATAAGGAGACGAGTCACAACTTTTATGATCACATCAGATACGTTTGAAAAATGGAGAAGCAATATTTGAGCTTGACATACAAATTTTTCTTGGTTTGGTCCGTATCGCTCAATTTTCTTCTCTTTTCTTTGGTAATTAGTCGTAATTCAGAGCTGAGTTGGAGCAAAAAAGCAGCTGCGGAAGCTGAAGCTGCTGCTTCAGTTTCATGCTCAGGCCATGGAAGTGCCTACCTAGATGGCTTAGTTTTAGATGGTGGAAAACCAGTTTGTGAATGTAATGGATGCTATACAGGCCATGATTGTTCAGAGCTTATACCTGACTGCATTGCAGACGCTGATAGGTATTAGTCTAACCACAGATAGAACTAGAGCGGGGGGGAAGGGAGGTCTGAAAATTTTGGTTTTATACCGTTGTGAATTCTAGATTGAATTTTTTGAAATCCCTTATCCAGTGGTCTATACTCGCAAACTTTTTGCAAAGTTCTGATACTTTTGGATAAGCAAAAAAATTCTACGTTACAGTTTTAGTTGATGAATCAGAACTGCTGCCCTTGTATATGTTGAATTGGACTGAAAAAACGTTGAAATCTAATCTTGACTCTCTTGGTTGCATGCAGCGGAAACCCGACGTTCTTGGAGCCTTTCTGGAGGAAGAATGCAGCAAGTAGTGCAACTATGGTGGCAGGATGGCATCGCATGGGCTATGAATTTGAAGATGGTTCACTAACATCTAAAGAACTGGAGAAGCAAATACGAAAGCTGCATGCTACAGCTGGGAATGCAATCACAGACGGCAAATACATAGTCTTTGGCGGTGGCTCGACTCAGCTTCTTAGTGCAGCGGTAAATGCTCTTTCATCCAAGGTTTCATCATCACCTACAAAGGTCGTTGCATCTGTGCCATATTACCCGGTTAGTCATTGAAAACATCAAGTGAATTATCATCTCCAACACTTGAAGCCAAATCTGGTCAAGAATTATATATTACTCTTTTTTTATGCTTGATGAAGTTAATCATTTTCCGTTACTACTCATGATAGGTTTATAAATCTCAAACAGAACTCTTCAAATCAATGAATTTCAACTTCAGTGGAGATACAATGTCGTGGAAAAGATCATCAAATTCTTCAATGAATTTCATTGAGTTTGTCACTTCGCCTAACAACCCTGATGGTCAGTTAAAGACTGCCATCCTTCGAGGCCCGAATGCCAAGCAAATTCATGATCTCGCCTACTATTGGCCACATTATACGTCAATTCCATCTCCAATAGATGAAGATCTCATGATTTTCACACTTTCTAAGCTCACCGGTCATGCTGGAAGCCGTTTAGGGTACGTATATCTTGATCCCTTACAATCATGGTTCGTAGTCGCACTTGTTCTACATCCGTTCGTCGCCGCATATCAGTTGAATATTGAGTGATACATCTATTATACCATATAAAAATTTTCAAAAATTTTATAAAAATTACTAAAATTAGAAAATAGCAAAATATGTACAATCTGAAAAAATATCCAAATTGATTCCGAATTGATTCGGATATATCGACTGATACCATGTATCACGGATCCAAATCGGCCAATATCGATCGAGTCAGAACGAGTCACCACGAATATGATATTATCTACAATTCGGGGATCGATATCAGTTCCGGTTATGATTCGGTTGAGTTGTATCAGAATCTACCAATATTAATTGCTAACCATGCTTACAATAGTATAGGGAAAATGAAAAGCCATTTATTCATTGTGTAATAATTTGCCATAAAGAAAATTGATCACATGATTTGTCATCTTCCAGGTGGGCAGTCATCAAAGACGAAAATGTATATGACAGAATGGTGAATTACATCGATCTAAACACCTATGGAATAGCCAGAGAAACTCAGCTGAGAGCTTCGAAGCTTTTAAATGTAGTCCTTCAAGGGGATGGACGAAATTTCTTTGACTTTGGCTATGAAACTATGAAGTTACGATGGCAAAAATTAAGGAAAATTTTATCAGCATCATCAAAACGATTCTCCATCCAAGAACTCAAGCCACATTATTGCACATTTTCATCAGAAATAAGGTCTCCTGCTCCAGGTTATATTTTAATGTTCTATAGTTCTTCAAATACATTAAAAGCTCAATCAAAAATTCAAACTTTGTGGAGACTAATTATGTGAAAGAATATGCTCTATAAAGACATCAACTTGCCAAAAGGAAATTTGTGCTAGCCGCGAGTTGCAAACTAACAGCCCGGCTTAAAACTAAAAGAGACTGCAGCCTAGTAAAATTTATGTAGCAAATTAGTTGCTAAATAGATATTCATTTTTAGATGATCTTTATGGGCTTTGGATTATGCATACAGCTTTTGCTTGGATCAAATGCAACGAGGAAGAAGAGAAAGACTGTCATGCTGTCCTACGTGCAGCAAAGATCTTAGGCCGCCGAGGGCGTGTATTTGGTGCAAACAGCAGCTACGTGCGTTTGAGCCTTGTCAATAGCAAAGACGAATTCAATCTGTTGATGCACAGACTTGAGATGCTAGTTTTTGAGGAAGCAACAAATTCAGTGGTCGAATTTACTCTGGGAGACAACGAAATGAGGAATCGTTATTACGTTCCACGGAATGGTACCTCAGCCTCAGGCAAAGATACTTGCGAATCAATAGAGGTCGCTCAAATTAATACTCAAACTTGTGCAGCGCAATGAAATTATCAGGCAAACGAAGGGAGGTTTTTAGTAGTTCATAATTATAGAAACTCATATGTCAATCGACGATTCTCTTCTCTTATATGTTTATAAAGAATACTTTATAAGACAAAGATTAATATAGAATTTACACACTAAACTTTCATAGCCCCTCAATCTGAATGGGGTGCTACCATATGAAGATTTACGCACTCTCTCTTAAACACAGCTTCTAATTCGACATTTTTTTCAATTTGTAAGCAAGAATATGGCCTCAAAGGACATAAAACGCATACTGCAAAAACTTTACATTAAAGATTGGTTAAGGTTGGATTTAGTAATTAACTAGGGCTCTAAAGGAGGCTAGTGCAAGTGCGCAACATATATATACTGTTCAACCTTGTTTTCAGTAGTTCTAGACTAGATTGAAAAACTTATTTTGCTTTCAAGAATCATTTTCACATTAAAATTTCACCTGGGATTTGGAAAAAATATCATTTAATTTCTTCTCATTTGAGACCCAAAAAAAAAAACATCCTTTTTTTCTGAAAAAATTTTAAAAAAGCTCTACCTACTCATGCTAACTGTGTACTTCTAGTAAATCACATAACTTGCAGTACCTATATTGTTGTTTTCAACTCCAATATACTATTTATGTGGTAGAGAACAATTAATATTCATTCCTTAACAGGTAGTGGAAAAGAAAATGCATGCTACTACCTCTAATTGGGTCTTTTTTAGATAGATCCTTTCAAATGACGTCAAAATGAAAAACAAAAAGAAATAAAACAAATATCTAAATCAGTAGAAGCTCAAATTCCATATATTGAAGGATAGTAAAGCTCCTAAATTTGTTTAAGTGACCAATATTGGTCATTAAGCTTGATATTTACTTGGCAAATGAAGATCAACATTCATAACGAATAATCCTAGAGTATTAACAGGAAAGTCAATAAGCAAGATAAGAAAGCCAAGGAGCAAAAATACGTCAAATGGCTAATCTATCCGGTAAATCAATGATTTGACTGATCCAAAAATTTTACAGAAACCCATATGCTACTTTGACAAAGTAGCATAAGTGAGAGATCCTGGATAAGCTCTATAATTTATGGACTGTAGTATAATATTATACTACTATGAGGCTTATCCATCTAGGGTAGTTGGGTTAATAATGCTATTATGAATTATATAGTACTCCTATTAAAAAAAAAGAACAATTCACTGGCTTTTGAATTAATGCAAGTATCATGTACATTTAAACTTTAGCCTCACATGTATACAACACAACTTTAAAAAAAAGTTGACTAATTATAAAAAATGCACAGAAATATAAAATCAATATTCCTTTTGCTAGCAGTAGAAAGGCAACAATTTAACCATTTTACTGGCTTGGAAAATTTATTTAACCAAATGGGCTTAGTTTAATTGAGCCATAATTCCACACTTTTCTTATACTATCTCTTACAAATTTTGACACGGTATATGTATTTTAATTAACAACTCTCCTCGCCCATTCACCTTCAACAACCATCCCGAAGTCAGCATCATAACTTCCCTTTAAGTCTTTGTTTCACCTTCACTTTTTTTTTTTTTTTTGTTATTAATTAGAAGAGCAGAGCAGCCATGGAAGAATACGTGCTTTATCCATTTATTATTAATGTCGAATAATGGAATACAAGGAAACAAAACGAAGTTAGTTAGGTTTAATGACTTTTAGCCACCAGATATACAGTTTAGGGTGACTTAGTCTTAGCCACCGCATTACATATAGACTCACACTTTCTTGTTTTTTGTTAATTCCAAAGTCAATTCCTTGGTTCCACTGATGTTGTCACATTTGTCGCTTTTGGTCACATAGAGTTATTTTTCAATTTCTGTGTTTTTTTTTTCGTATCCTTTTTCTTTCTACCCTTTTAGAAGATCATGAAGGTAAAATACTGAAGTTTTCAATACAAATTCAAGATATACAAAAATTAAAATGTTTAGATAACTTCAAAAAGTAAGTAAATTTTACTTATCAGTTGAAGTGTTGGCTCATATACAAAAATCATCACTATTTTAGACGATTCAAAGAGTAGAAACATGCTGCTTCCTGAAGGATGCAAAGGGGAAGAGGCAACCGCCCCAAAGATTTCAGAAATTCTTCAATATCTCCTATATATATATATACACACACGGAAAAGTCTGAAGTAACGAGCGTTATGATAACGAAACTGTTTTTACCTGATATAACAGGTAAAAACACTTTTAGCGACCATTTGATTACCTGTTATACTGGTCATCTAAATAAAATAGTACCTAAAAATATGGTTAGTAAGTTTTACATTAAAAATAGTAAGTTAACTCAAGAAATTAGTAACTTTTATGTCTCAAAAAGTAAATTTGAAGAAATATGGAACTTACTTTTTTTTTGAAGTAGATAACTACTCTATATCTAAAACTTACTTTTTGGAGAGTAAGTTTAGTTCAAATAATAGTAAGTTTTTATAGACTAATAGTAAATATTGTTGATAGAATAGTAAATTTGGGTTAATCATCAAAACTTACTAGTTTATGGCATAAATTTACTATTTTACTTAAAGAAACTTATATGGAACAAGTATTAGGAAGTTTATTTGAAATAATGCTAAGATTTTTTATTAATAATTGAAACTTAGTATTATAGTTAGTAATTACTCGTAATGTAAATGTATGATACACAATTGTACGTATCATTTATAAATGTTATATGTTTTAAGCATTTTAAATAAACTATGAAAACTTTTTTTTTGCATATGACCTTATAAAATATGTAAGAATAATTTGTCATATTATAAATTTTGAATTATTTTTGAATTTGTAAAAGGTTAAAAAGTTTGGATGACAGTAAAAAAAAATCTTTTGAGTTATATATAGAATTGCACTTATCTATACATCACAATTTCCATATATGGACACCGATGAATATAATAAAATGGTACGCAATTTTCATATATTAATGCCTATGAATTTAATAAAATGGTAAAATCTTAATAAATTTATTTTCTGGGTCACAAGTATAAAAATTAAAGTTGTATTAACATAGAATAATCTTTGAAAATTATAGTAAAATTACCCATATGTTAAGTTTTGTGACTTTCAAACATACTTTGTATCATTTACATTATGGATTTGTATCCATATGTTTTCTATCAAACTCTTTTTTTATTGGCAAATGGTAAGTAAATTATTATAAAAGGGCATTTTATAATAATCATAATTTTTAATAGATGAATTTTATGTAAACTGTTAAAATTATGAATTCACAAACGACTAAATCTGACTACTTTATGACACATATTAGTCTAAATGACTAAAAAATTACTGTAATCATGTACACGTTGATTGTTGAATTGAAATTTCTTTTATTACTAGTACAAGTTCTTCTAATCAAAGCAAAATAAAATCAAATATCTTTTCCTTTTGTATGCAATAGTTATGCTTAATAGAAAATTATTAAACCATTTTTACAGTACATAATTTCTCCTAAAATTTGTAACATTTACCATGACCTCTAACCTTGACATTGTTATTTAATTTACCTTCTAAATTTAATTTAATTTTCTTATATTAATTGTTATACTAAATTTATAATTTTTGTTATTATATTATTTCTCATTTTGTTTAGGCTTTTACTCTTATTATTTCTTGTGTCTCAGATGTAAATTTATTAAAACTTTATCATCTTATTATATTCATAGGTGTTAATTTATAAAAATTTTGATATATAAACAAGTAATATTCTATATATAACTAGGAAGATTTGTTGTTATTATTATCCAAACTTTCAAACTTTTCAAAAATTGAAAATAATTAAAAACTTATAATACGACAAAATTTTATTACATATTTTACGAGATTATGTGAAAAGTCAAACTTTTTTCCATAGTATTTTAAAATATGTAAATAAATTTTTTTAAATGTTAACTATAATCTTGTATTATACAGGTATATTATGAGTACTTACTAACTAAGGTACTAAAAATTAATCATTAATAAAACATCTTATCGTTATTTCAAATAAATTCCCTAACACTAGTTTGAAATATGTTTTAAAGTAAAATAGTACATGTGTCTCATAAATCAGTAAATTTTGATTATTAATCAATTTTACCATGTTATCAGTAAGAATTACTATTTATGTATTAAAACTTACTATTACATGAATTAAACTTATACTATAAAAAGTAAGTTTGGGATATAAAGTAGTAATTTATTTATTTAAAAAGTAAGTCTAATATTTATTCCAATTTACATTTTGAAGTATAAAGTTACTAATTTATTACTGTTAACTTACTATTTTAGATGGAAAACTTACTTTCTTATTTTTAAGTGTTATCCTATTTAGGTGGATAGGCCTATCAAATAATCAAATGGCCGCTAAAAGTAAATAAAAAATAAATCGAAAATGGTCATATAAGTGTTATCCTATTTATGTTTCAAAAAGTAAATCGAAATAAAAATGAAAGTTACTTTTTTTAAAAATTAAATTACTACTCTACATTCGAAACTTAGTTTTGTGGGGAGTAAGTTTAGTTCAAGTAATAGTAAGTTTTTATAGATTAATAGTAAATCTTGTTGAAAGAATAATAATTTGGTTAATCATCAAAACTTACTAGTTTGTGGCATAAATTTACTATATTACTTAAAGAAACTTATATGAAACAAGTATTAAGAAGTTTATTTAAACTAGTGCTAAGATTTTTTTATTAATGGTTGAAACTTAATATTATAGTTAGTAGTTGTTGGTAACATAAATGTATAATAATGATTGTATGTTTCATTCATAAATGTTTTGCGTTTTAAGCATTTTAATAAATGTATGCATCATTTATAAATGTTATGTGTTTTAATAAATTTATTTTCTAGGTCACAAGTATAAAAGGTAAAGTGATCGTATCTAATGTAGCGTAATCTTTTAAAATTATAGTAAATTTACCCATATATTAAGTTTCGTGAGTTTCAAATATATTTCGTATCATTCACAATATGGATTTACATGCACATTTTTTATGAAACTTGCTTTTAATTGGCAAATAGTATGTAAATTATTATAAAATGTCATTTTATGATAATCATAATTTTTATAGGTGAATGGAATAGGTGCAAGATCTTGATACTGTACTACAACACAAATTTGGGGATAAGTACAAGTTTCAGGCATCGTCATTTGAATTTGACGAATCTCCTAACATTCCTAAACAACCGAATGGGTAACTTTCATTAATGACGTTTTAAAGCCTAAAAAACCGTGTGCTGAGTATTGTATAACATGAGTATTTGAGTTGCTTTTCGAGTTCTGCTCATCAAGTAAGCCAGTCCAATTTGAAGTAAACAGCAAAATCTACATGCACAAGACATTTGATATGAAATTGGTATTTCAAAATAGGAGAAAACGGCTCATTTTGAGCATCAGAATGAATCTAACTTTTAATAATTGATACTTACGCATCAAAATTAAGCTGGCAGGACACTAGATATAGCTATCTAAGCATGACAAGATTACATGGCCAAGAACTGAATTTAGAGCACAAAGACTTTGGCTTCAGAAATCTGAAGCAATCAAAAGGCTAGTAACTTGATTTGAGAATTTGATCACCAGCATCAAGGGCTCTGATATCACTATCAAAAGCTTCAGTTTGGATTGACATTTCTGGTTTACAAACCCAAGAGCACTTGGATGCTAACAATATCTGAAATTTGATCACCAAACTTTTTTCCAAGCAAGCTGAAATTATTCACATTAAAACAAGTAAACACCAGAAATTGCAAACTAAGGAGATTATGTTCAGATTTACAATCAAAACGCATTAAACTACCTTCGAAGAAACTTAAATCATCCTAAAAGCTTTGAGCAAAGACGTGCAAAAACATTTGTACTCTCTCAAGAATAAAATTCCTTAATGGTCTTGGCTGAAATCTGGTTCATTCACTACAAAACCATCACAAGATTTGTATTAAAAAAAGGCCACAACAACACATAATCATAGCAAATAAATAACATAAAACTTAGGCGTGAAGAAGGAAAAATGTACCTGAATACTTTTCATCTCCTAACAAGCTAGTGTTTTGTACATGACTTTGGATTAATGAAGGATTGCATGCCCACATTAATGCCTATACAAATGCAAATAGAGCACCATTATATTTCATGCCTTCACACAAAAATAAATAAAAGCAAGCTATACATTACCTGACCAGGAGGAATGATCTGAAACCAATTACTATCCATTAATTCCTTATTGCATCCATGCTGTGAATCTGATTGCAATAGGCCATCGGATGATCCTATCAGATTCAAATTTACATTCTCAACATTATTGGGTGCCCCAACATGATCATAATTGTGAGTTTCATATGCATCTGTGCACACTTTAGTACATTTTCGTCTATCATGTCCAAATGACCTGCGGGAAAAAAATTGCCTAGCACAATCCATAAACAATAAGATTGAATTTATAAAGGCGTATATGAAGTGTACATATATAACTAACATTTTTGGCCTTCTAACATAAAGCCAATGAGTGGATGAAATTTAGCATTGCTCATTCATATCTGGTTTTGCAAAGCTAGTCTAACCGTAGAATAAGTCAATTTTAAGAGTAGGTGATTACTTGCAATTTTTGCATCGTCTTCGCTTTCGCTTGTGAGTGGACTGTTTTGCCTTTTGTCCCTTTGTAGCAACAACAATTGGACCAAGAGAAAGTATGGACCAAAGTGGAAACCTTTGCCTGGGAATTCAATCGTATCGTTGGAATTGAGAACTAAATAAGAAGAAGACAGATGACTTTAAAGAGATAGGTGAATGTGATACCCGAAAGTGTTTCAGGAACCCAAAACCGTTTTCAGCAACCCAAAATCATTTTTAGAAACCCGGTGATTTTTTCACTTAAATATGTAAATTTTTTACTTTTAGTATTAGTAAGTTTAGTTTAAACATAAGTAAATTTTGTCAAATAATAAGTAAATTAAATTACTCAAAGTGTAAATTTCTATTTCTGACTAAAACTTATCTTTCAGGCATATACTTACTAGTTTGAATTAAAAACTTACTTATCTTCTCGACTTGGCAACCCGTTTCTTTTCTAGGTATTTTATGATTAGAACTCCATTCTCTCTATATTACAAATCATCATCAAACTAATTGAAAACCTCAATTCTCATATAAACCATTCATCTGAATTTTGTTCCAATCAACCCATTCAACAGATTTATGTTCCAGTCTAATCGTTATGATATAGCAATGGCATTAATTAACAAGCTATTTTGACTCTCCCGGTAAGGGTTTACGTATTAGTAATTTTTTAGGAGAAAGATGAGTTATTCACATGTCCAAAATATCGAAACAACCAGCATAATCTAATCCTTAGTTCAATGAAAGTCACAAATTTGCGGGTAGGTAGATTAGATTATGTTGAATGCCTTTGGCTCTTTACAATGAAATTCAAAATTTTTTCTCATGACAGAGCAAAGACGGTGATATAATTGATTGTGTCTATATGTATCAACAACCAGCATTTGACAATCCTTTGCTCAAAGACCACTGGATTCCGCAGGTTTGCCCCATGCAACACCATTCAAAAGAAAAATAAACAAAAAAATGCAAAAATATGAAGTATGTATAACACCATAATTGATTGATGGTCGGAAACTGTTCTATGAATTTTCTCTCCTTTCCTGACTGAAGAAGATGGAAGATGTGATTCTACAAAATCTACATGTATCATAGGATGGTAATAAGAATTGCTTCTGCAACACAGATTTACAAGAGTAATAATGGCCAAATTTCCGTGGCATTGCAGACGTTACAATGGAGTAAAAAATTCAAGAGGCTGATAATAAATTTCCATAGAAACAACAGATTCGCAACAATGATTCTAGATCAGTTCAGTTCAATAACATATGCTCCATCAAGCGTATCAACTTAGAATTCCAAAACGGGAGAAACCTCTCTTGCCTGAAGAATTCAAGTTATAAAGCTCATGTTGAGTTACTAATATATTAGTAATTCTCACCCGCACAGAGTAGCAATCACAACATACAAATTTCTCTTTGACATTTCACCAAACATCTTATATGCATTCACAAATTAATCACATTTAACTTAAACGCCTGGTCTCAAGTCCTTTCCTAGATGTTTCACATGGCTATTAAACATATTTTACCCGTAGACAATCAAAACTACAACCATTTCCTAGATGTTTCAACGGACATTTTCGGCCCCAAAATTGCAATAAAATCTTCAAATTCTCAGCCTTGATTTCCCAAGAAAATCTTGACAAACAAAACAAATGAAATATAAATAAATTACAGCAATATAATCAAACGATTTCAAGAGAACATGATGATCTAACCTCGTCACTGCTATTTTTCATATGCTCTTTGGCTGGCTACCACCGTTGCTAACCCTTTTGTTGTGTTTGCATATGGCAGCACTCAAACCCAACCGAACGATGAGAAAGGATAGAAGCAAAGTGTGAACTAAAGATGAAAATTTTGAAGTGAGAAGATTTATTCAATTGTAACAAAGAGAAAGTGTGGATCAAAGTGGAAACCTTTGTCTGGGAATTCAATCGTATCATTGGAACTGGGAACTGAATAAGAAGAAGGTAGATAACTTTAAAGAGAAATATGATACCCAAAACCGTTTTCAGGAACCCAAAACCGTTTTTTTACTTAAATATGTACATTTTTTACTTTCAGTATTGGTAAGTTTAATTTAAACATAAGTAAATTTTGTCAAATAATAAGTAAATTAAATTACTCAAAGTGTAAATTTCTATTTCTGACTAAATCTTATCTTTCAGGCATATACTTACTAGTTTTAATTAAAAACTTACTAAAGTTAATATTAATTATTTTAATATAATATTTAAAAAGTCACTAAAAGATTTGATCTGTCACTAAAGGTAATAGAAACTTATAATAGCAGGTTTCCCTAATATCGTTACCATAACTATAGGCACTGTAGCACTGTCCATACACACACACACACTACATACGCACTTGTTGAAACTAGGACCCCCACCCCATGATTTTAGAAGTCCATCTATGAATCGTTCAAAAGGTTTTCACTTTTATCCTTGCAAATACTAGACTTCGTCCCCCAAACTTTTTTAATATTATAAAAGTGCCCTTAAGTATACATCTTCATAAGTCTTGCCCCCCAAAATCTCAAGCTTTGGTTCGCCAATGCAGTTGCTCATTCTTTACAGATTTCTCAAGACTCGGCGATGTGTTCAAGAACTAGATATCAAACTATACAGAAAGCTTCTAGCTAGGATAAAGGCAGTGTTCTAATTCTTCGCAAAAAATGTGTCTATTTTGAGTAAACTGTATACTTTTATTGATCTGCAGCGAAGAGTACACAAAGAAGGGACTCCGCCAATACATTTACATCAGATAACCCTATAAAAGCAGTAAACTGACAATTAAGTAACTATGAAACCTCCCTTATATAATATATATATATATCTATACTAAGGGAAGGCCTAAATTCTTGTGCTAATATTCCTATTCTCTCAATGGATACATGTAATATATATCTACTATCAGTAGTTCTTCGAAAAGAATCATGTAAATGTACAATTTTAAAGTTGTTAGAAGGCCATTTCGCCTATTAATCTAATACAGTGTCTGCAAAGTCTCTTGAACGTGTGAATTTCTGCTATCTTCTGATGCCATTTCTTGATTGGTGTAATAGCCAAAGTTTTCATCCGAGACATATGTAGCATTCAACGCCACGGTGAAGTTGCTCTTCCTTGTCACATGTCCTCCAGGAGTGAATTCAGCCATCAGATTAACTAGTCTTTCCTGGAAAACTAGCATCTCAAGTCTATGCTGCAATAATTCAAAATCATCTTTGCCATTGACGAGGCTCAGACGCACATAAGTGCTGTCAACACCAAATACATGTCCTGCACGGCCTATAATCTTTGCTGCACTTAAAGTAGCATGACAGTCCTTATCTTCTTCCTTCTCGCATTTGATCCATGCAAAAGCTGCATTAGCCAAAAGTAAGCTCATATCAGACCAAAATCCAGAAGACAACTTACTAATGGATTGTTCATTTTTTGCTAACTAGATTGGAATCAGGTTGAATTTGTGAACTTGAATTTTCTCTCATTCTAATATGTTCAGCCACATGATAACTTGGCAATAGTATTGAAAAGTATTCGGAGTTAAATAATTACCAGGAGTAGGAGCCCGAACTTCATTTGAAAATGTACATTGTTGGGGCGTTAGTTGCTGGATGGAGAATCGTTTTGATGCTGACAAAATCTTGCTTAACTTTTCCCATCGGAACCTCATAGCTTCATATCCAAAACTGAACATCTGTTTTCCATTTCCTTCAAGAACAACACTCAAAAGCTTCAAAGTTCTCAATTGAGTTTCTCTTGAGACTCCATAGGTATTCAGATCCATGTAATTCACCATTCGTTCATAGACGGCCTTATTCTTGATTATCGCCCACCTGAATGACAAAAAATGACATCAATAAAACTTTTAGGTCCGAAAGGATGAATTCTTTATTGAGGAACAAAATAGAACACGAAAGGTAAGAAGATATTTACCCAAATCGGCTCCCAGCATGACCAGTAAGTTTAGAAAGTGTGAAAATCATGAGATCTTTATCCATTGGAGATGGAATTGCTGTATAATGTGGCCAGTAATAAGCCAGATCGTAGATTTGCTTGGCATTCAGGCCTTGAAGGAACGCTTTCTTTAGCTGACCATCAGGATTATTAGGCGAAGTGACAAACTCAATGAAATTCATTGATGAACTGTTCATCCAAGAGCTTGTATGTCCTTCGAATTTGAATTTTGCCGATTCAAAAAGATCGGTTTGAGATTTATAAACCTGTCATCATCACAAGAAACTAATGATTAGCTCTCCCATGCATACACTATTAAGAATATGAGTTAGGACTGGCTATATTTAAATTGAATTTTGCTGCCAACTAAATTTAGGTTAAGCCTGTGAGACTAACCGGATAATATGGAGCGGAAGCAACAACCTTGGCAGGCGAAGATGAAGCATCAGCTGCAAGAGCATGCACTGCTGCATTAAGAAGTTGAGTTGAGCCAGCACCAAAAACTATATATCTTCCTTCTGTCACTGCATTTCCAACTGTAGCATGCAACTTTCTAATTTTCTTCTCAAGTTCTTTAGAAATCAGCGAACCATCTTCAAATTCATATCCCATTCGATGCCATCCAGCCATCATAATTGCACTAGTTGCTGCATTTTGCCTCCAAAATGGCTCCAAGAAAATTGGATTTCCACTGTAACACGAAAAAAATATTTTAATAAAGCTGATGAGCTTGTTTTTTGCAATTCAATATGTGAGTTAAACTAGGCCTTAAATTCATGATACCTGTCAGCATCTACAACACAGTCAGGAACAAGTTGTGAACAATCAAGGCCAGTATAACAAGAATTGCACTCGCAAATTGGTTTGCCACCATCGAGAACAAAGCCATCCAAATAGGCTCTTCCATGGCCTGAACACGATAGTGAAGCAACTGCTTCAGCTTCCTCAGAAGCTTTCCTGCTCCAGCCGAGGTCTGAATTATTACTGCGAATTAGGAAAGAAAAGAAAAGGAGATTGAGGATCGCTGAGAAACCTAAGCAAAGTTTGTATGTCAAGCTCATATTGTGCTTTCCCATGTTTCTTGATTGAGTTCGGGTCTGAATCTGATGTTTGTCAAGGATGAGCAAAGTTGAAGTACTGATCTCCTTTTATAGTGGTGGTTATGGTAGCTAAAATACTATTGAAGTACAATGGTCTGACCAATTCACCAAGTAGCTAGCTAGGAAACATCGTTTATTATACTTTAGTACATTAATCGGATTATATTAATATGGGAACATTTTTAAATCAAAACTGAGTCATTTTCTTGATTTAATTAAGCAATAAAGCACGTTTAGCTCCTGTTGTACAAGTAAATTTGTATAGGAGAACGCGGGAGGAGTTTTTGATTAGTACTAGGGAGCTAGAGACTGAGAAATAACGTAGCAAGAATACATGTCCTGATTAAAAATGAAATTCAGATAATGCGTCATATGATTTCCATGCATGGGAACGGTCCATACCCGATTCCTTTTTGTCCTTTTTCTTCATTAATTAGTAATTTAGTATTCAGGCCGATCAGGTGTGTTCTTCAGGGGTGCTCAATTCCATTACAAACTACAAGTCAGCTAATATTTTTAATTTATTCAATGAAATCTTAAACTTTACCTGCTATGGATAATCAGTGCCTTATCCTATAAGTAAAAAATTTAAAGTCATGACAAAATCGAGGTTGTTAAAAACATTTCTGAAACTTAGGGATCATCATTCCACATATGATCTGAGTCATAAATCAATTCATACATTTTCTTGGCGTAAGTTCTTTCAAACTATCTTCTTTATTTATAGTTTAGTTATCCATTTTTCTCATTCAAGTATTAGATCACTCATCCTTTGAAATTATTTTTCCTAACGATTAAAATAAAAATGTACCAATATGTTTGCTGTTGATTAGACACGAATTTCAGTGACTTTGTATGTTAAGGTCAAGGGTAAAATACACTTTACTCCCTGTGGTTTAGCGATTTTTCATATAATCTCCTGTAATTTTAAAACTATACATAACCCTCTCATAGTTTGGACTAAAGTGTCAAAGTTACGAAATTTGCATTTCATAACGAAGTCAACTAAAATATCAAAAGTATCCCTTTATGAAGTTGAAAATTTATTAATTAACCACAGGGAGATTAGGTATATATTTTGGAAATCATAAGGGGATTATGTGATAAAACACTAAACCATAAGAGGGTTATGTAATAAAACATAAAACCATAAGAAGTTAAAGTGTCATGCATATTAACTTCATATATTTTGATTATTTCAACCATTTTAGTTATTAAAGAATGATATTCTCGACATTTCTTTGGATTCCGTTACAAAGGATCATTTCCATCACATTAATACTTTAGTTTAAACTATGAGGGAGTTATATATAACTTTCGAAACTATATGGGATTATATGCAAAATTACTAAAATACAAGGGGATAAAGTGGATTTTACCCTAAGTTCAGCAGAGAGATCAAATACTATTTAAACATGTAGTACTATATAACCCTAGATACTATTTCCTTCTTCATGCATTTAACAATCCTTTCAGACAAAAGAAACTGCTCTGCCAACTGGAATTACTAGATTAAATGGCTAAATAACAAAGAAGTAAGACAAGAAAAATACTTGTACGCGGAACTCAGATGGTTCCACAGTTGACCTCCAATTTTGAAATCAGAAGAAATGAGGCTTCTGATGATGCTTCACTCGCTTCATCACCTGACCATCGCTTCATCACTCGCTTCATCGCTTCAAACCTCAATATATTTTATGCTTAA